TAAGTTTTTCACTTTATATTGTTTGTACCACTCCATCCATATCATAGAATTCTAAGGTTTTCTAATTGTACTTGAGCTAAACATGACAAAGTCATATTCATGAGGCTGGGAAAATGAAGAAGTCAATACAATACATTTTTAAGCTATAATTAAATTTAAAAATAAAAAAAACAACCAAGAAAATTAAATGGAGGTATACTGGGAAAATATATGTCTGAATTTAATACTTTGTTTCTTTAGAAGTGAAACATTATCATGTATGTCTATCATTGCATATGATTTTTTTTTTAAAAGAATGTTGATTTTGGAGTGGAATAATCAGTATCCATCAAATTAACAGTATGCATATTAATAAGATGATAAAGATGTCACTTTGAGGACTAAGGTAAACCTGACTCAAGCCATGCTATTTTCCATTGCGTCATGCAAAAGCTGGACAATGAATAAGGAAGACAGAAAACGAATTGATGCCTTTGAAATATGGTGTTGGTGAAGAATATTAAATACACCATGCATTGCCAGAAGAATGAACAAATCTGTCTTGAAAGAAGTACAGCCAGAAGAATCAAGGATGGTGAGACTTTGTCTCATGTACTTTGGACATGTTATCAGGAGACACCAGTCCCTGGACCAGGACATGATGCTTAGTGAAGTACAGGGTCAGTGAGAAAGAGAAAAACCCTCAATGAGATGGGTTGACACAGTGGGTGCATCAATGGCCCAAAATAACAACAATTGTGAGGATGATGCAGGACCAGACAGGGTGACCCTCTGTTGTACACAGGGTCACCATGAGTGAGAACTGACTCCATGACACCTAACAACATCAAGGTTGCTGTTAAATTACTAACAACTGTTACTTGCTCTGGACATTTGACAGTTTTCAAGGTTAGTCCTAAAGCTGTATATAGTTTCTGTTCTTCTCTTTTTCTAGTTTGTTAGGTCCGGGACCTTCCTCTTAAATCTGTTGTCCCCATAGTGCTCCTTAGTTATGAATTAACACTTTCATTTGCCATATTCCTTTTCCAGAAGACTGATACTTTTCCTTGATCCTGTCTTATACTTTACCTCTGCTTAGATCATATCTAATTAGTTACCAATTTCTAAATCTCTCTGATCCCCTGACATAACCATAGTCAATGCCATCATCACTAGGGTTATTAAACCAGTGTCTAAACTGGTTATTTTATATCCATTCTTTTCCCCTTCCATTCCATTTCATACACTGATTTCAGAGTGATTTTTAAAAAATAAGTATAACCAGAATAACATTTTGCCGTATGGTAGGCCTTGCTAATCCTTCATTCTTAGGCATCTTGCTCCTTATATGTCAAGAATCATGCATTAAGGACTCAGATCATTGAATTTCTTCTAATAAGACTAAGCTGTGAAGCTTAGTCTGTCCAGGAAGAAGGAGGTGGTATCTTTCGGCAGTGGGTGTCACATGACACTTTGAAACCACAGTCCTGGGGAATTTCAGTCCCTGGTTTAAAAAGTCTCTCTTGGCTGACTCAGGTCAAAGGTGCTTGATGCACATATACTACTACTTTGTTCTCATTGGTTTTTGGTAGTGTGGCAGGTCTGATCTGGTCTTTCTGTAAACAGTTTCTTTCTCCAATTGATATGGGATGGCAACCATTTCTACTGACTGCTACCTAGAAACCAAAGTCCTTAACTTGAAGGTCCCTGATTCCTGACCTTGAGGACTCTGCCTGTACAGAGGTCTCCTCAGCACCTGTGACCCCTTTCAAGAGATCCTGGAACTTCTGGATGACCTGGCACTATGTGAAGGCTGCGGGGAGCCAGTAGTACCACTACACGCACATCTTTCTGGCCACTTCCCAATAATGCTGCCATAATATTGTCCAAATACCAGGTTAGGGCTTTTGTTGAGCCTGAAAACCCTATCCCAGTCTGTATTTGAGAAATATGTCATTAGCCTCTCCCTGTGCCCTGTTCCTGTCTTATACCCACCTGGATAACTATGACTAACAAATCAAAACTGCTTTAAAAAGTTAAGTGTGGGAGAGGTTGAATGTGAGGAAATTTAGATTAGATACAGGAAATAAACCACAGGTTTTTTTTTTTGGTTTTTTTTTTTTTGTTTTTACATCTAAGTGGCTGTTTTGAACCTGCTATGTTTAAGGGCGGGAGCTCTGGTAGCATAGTGCCTAAGGCACTTGACTGCTAACCAGAAGGCTGATGGTTCAAACCCACCAGCCACTCCTCGGAAGGAAGGTTGGGCAATCTACTACTGCAGTGATACTGCCTCGGAAACCCAAGGAGGGGTCGCTATGAGTCGGGGCTGACTCGACGGCACATAACAACAACAACGTTTAAGGGCTTGCCAGGGATGTCTAGGAGTCAGTGAGCAATCTGAGTGTGCACTGTGAACCCATTACAACTTCCTAGACTAAATAAACAGGAGGTGTTATGTTGAGTCCAAAGCTATGATCCTGTAAGTACAAGGAAATACAGGACTGATGAAGGAAAATGAACTATACAACTGGGCAGAGAACATCATGGGGGATCTGGTGCAGAACAAGCCTATATTTCCAGTTCCTTGAACAACAACAACCAAAAAAACTGATCCATACCTTCTTTACTCATGCAAGTCTTTCTGCAGGCTTACCTCTTCAAGGGAAGAACCTTCTACCTACCTGACTGATAGAATTCCAGAATAGGAAAGTGGGGTGTGCAGAGTTAACACTTTCAGAAGCAAACCTCCTGAGAACATGAGTGATGACCCTCTAGCGATCTAATTTTCTTGGAGAGAGGTATGCCTAGGTGAGAGTAAGTGTGGGAATCTTGACCACTGGAGATAATGGCATGGTTGGGAGTTAGTAGTCAGGGATGCTATTGCCAGCTAGAAGGTCAGGAACATTTAGTTGTACCTTAAAAAGTGCTCATGCAAAGCAGAGCAGAGCACCCGCCACGTAGTAAAGGCCTGAAGACAACAGGAGGACGCGTGGGCCTGAGGTCAGGAAAACCAAAAAATAAACCAAACTCACCGCTGTTGAGTCAGACCTGACTCATAGTGACCCCTCCTTAGGTTTCTGAGGCAGTATCACTATGGAAGTAGATTGCCCAACCTCCCTTAGTTGTAAGAAATAAAGAACATGTTCTTCATATCTGCTCTCCTGACTTTGCTATCTAACCCGTCACTCCACTGCTCAGAATCTCCAACAGCCTACCCTTAGGAAAGAATCAACAGTTCTCTTTGCTTACAGTGTTCCTCTAGGATCCAGCACCTGCCGACCTGTCAGCCCCTCCCTAGCAGCTTGCCCTTCCCGGCCCTAACCACTCCAGATCATCAGACCCCTTTCTTTAGTTCTTGAAACACACTAAACTCTTACTAACCATTTCCTCCACCTGAAACACTCTTTCCCTCTACTTCTCCTCACTTCATCGAAGGATCTCAATGCTATAAGAGCACTTCTTTAGGTAGTGCTTCCTGGATCTTCTATGTAAAGTCCAATTCTTTTTGTGAAATTTATTAACTGCTACAATAATAAACAGAGGCTGGAATTCCTTTACAAGTCTGAAATAGTTTGAGATTACAGCAGTAGAGAAGGAAAAAGTTTTGTGAGCCCTTGCAGGGCTCAGGAGGTGGGGGTGGGAGAGTCGGATTTCCTGCGGCCTGGCTCACTAGATGCTGATAAGGTTATTTATGGGGGTGGATTTGGTAATGACATTCCTCTATCCAGACCTCTACTACACTTACCTGCAGGGTCATTGCTTGTGAACTGAGTGGGAGGATCTCCGATTTCTAATTCAATTGTGAGTCCCATGGACCTCTTTCTCCGCAGACTTTTCCCTCGTAGTACATTGCTGACGCGGATTTTCTCATGTGGTATCTTTAGGAACAAGGCGAGATTTCTAACCAGATTATGGGAACTGTAAAAGTCATCTTCTGTTACAGCAGGTAATTGGAAAGAAATAAATATGACTGCAATGGTGTGGACTTCGACAGGTATTGTTCCTCTAACCAAAAGGTAAAGCATCTGGTAGGTCCTATCAAAGTAGTTTTCACCAAGGACAGTGGAATTCAGGGCAGGAAGGAATTGCTCTACACAGGAAAAAGGCCAAAACAGCATAGTTAAACATTAAACACAGTTATACTGTTTATCACAATTAGCATGCAGTGTTTAACATTTTTTAATTTAGAAAATTCTGAAACAATTCAACATTATCAGTTCTTTAGACTGCATTATTTATTTCATAAGAACAGATGCAGATGAAAAAGAAAAGCATTTATAAAACTGATATGCAAAATTAAAGTCATCCTTTATATAGTGCTATTAATGATCATTATACATCAAATTTATTTAAAAAAAACATTAGCATAGACATGGTGTAAATGAGGAAGTTAAATCTAATAACAAACTCAGTCTATAACGTACTAGTAATGACCATTTACACACTGAAAATTTCAAAGCTTTGAACCAAGGTATTTGGTAACTAAAAAATACGAATTTAACCACAGTAGTCATGGCTAAGACACTTGCCTGCTAACCAGACGGCTGGCGGTTCAAACCCACCAGCCACTCCTCGGAAGGAAGGTTGGGCAATCCTACTTCCATAGTGATACTGCCTCGGAAACCCAAGGAGGGGTCGCTATGAGTCGGGTTTGACTCGACGGCACATAACAACAACAACAACAACAGTCATCTAGTTTATGCAGTACTACATAGCAACTCTTGAAAGAACATCAATAATTCACTGTTTTCTACTTTTATCAAGAATAAAATAGTAATAAAAAAATTACATTAAGGAAAATATTTACATTTAATACATTTAAGCCTGAAAAATCTTTGGTTGATGTAAAACAAATAGGGAACTGACTTTTGGACAAGAGATTGAAAGTATTATTGAATTAATTGTGTATATATATACATTATTATATATATAATTATTGAAATTATTGTGTATACACACACACACACACACACATATATATATATATGATTTTATGTATCAACAATGCCTAAATGGTTGTAATAAATTCACTAACACATACTATGCCCAAAGGTTTTATTGTTTAAGAGTGGTATTACAGGCATGAAGGGTCTTACCACATTTCATAACGAGGCTTACTAAGAAAAAGAAATAGAAATTTTAGAAACAAGAGAGTGTTCCTAACAAATACAATAGACTGATTATTATGACATGTAGCCTATTCCTAAAGCACTTGACTGCTAATCAGAAGGCTGGTGGTTCAAACCCACCAGCCACTCCTCGGAAGGAAGATGGGTCAATTTACTTCCTTAGGGATACTGCCTCGGGAAATCCAAAGAGGGGTCGCTATGAGTCAGGTCTGACTCAACAGCACATAACAACAACAACAACAAGTATAAATTCTAGATTCAATTTGGCTTAAACATTTTGTGAATCTAATGAATGTGCTTTTATAAGTTCAAGCTGCTCCTACACTACTGTGCAAACTCATTTATCTTGAGTAATTTTTTCATGTAATGGAAGGAGCAGAGACATAGATGATAATAAAACATTTTAGATAACTCAAAAAACATTTAAATATTAGTTTACATCCGAAGTGGCAATGCAACAGTTCATAAAAAGACTTGCTATTTCCATAAACAACAATAATAACAACAAAAAAGATCTACAAGAGAGCAGCAATACATATATATATATACATATACACATACATATATACAGTGTTGGGGAAACTTAGAAGGAACTGAAAAACTGAAATTAAAAACATAACATTTGAAAATTTGTAACCAATATCCCCGTTATTTATTATTTTATTTAAGCTGCTGTAGCATTGAAGAATAAGCTAATATTAATGGCAATGGGGGCCAAAGATGTCTGCCCAGGATTAAATATTTGCTGCAGATCCACAGAAGGCAAGATACTTATAAATAAAGCAAAAAAAAAAAAAAATGTACTATTAGTGTCATTGCTACTAAAATAAGTTCATCTACCACTATTTATTTTGCATCACGGTGGTCCAGGTAGTGTGCAGGACACAATAAGTAAATTATTATTTCCATTATAATGATGAGAAAACTGAGGTTTAGTCAATTACCAAGTTGTTGAAGATCATATAGTTTATGAGGTAAAGGGGTTGGGGTTTGAAGCTAAATTTGTCTGATTCCAAATCCCAAATTCTTAATCACTCTTAGGGTAAAGAACGTTTCTTAAATTTTAAAATTTCCCAATTTTTAAATTTCCACTTAAGAAGTCAAAAGATCAACATTTCTAGTTTTACACATAACAAAACATAGGCTTGAACTTGAATAAGTATACACACACACACACACACACACATATATAATACATAATATATATATGCATACATATATATACACATACATATATATATGGAGCTCTATTGGTGTAGTGCCTAAGGCACTTGACTGCTAACCAGAAGGGTGGAGGTTCAAACCCACCAGCCACTCCTTGGAAGGAAGATTGGGCAATCTACTTCCGTAGTGATACACCTCGAACACCCAAGGAGGGGTTGCTATGAGTCGAGTCAACTCGACGGCAATGAGTTTATATATATATATATATATATATGTGTGTGTGTGTGTGTATATATATATATATATCTGTGTGTGTGTGTGTATAATGGGTATATATATGTCCATCTTCTAGGGTAGCATCTTTCTTTAGTTATTGTCTTTGTTTTATTGCATTATCCCTTTTTTGCTTTTCTTGCCCTTCAGCTTCTGTGTAATCAATTCTCTATATTAAATTCTGCCTGTTGAAATAGTTTCTAATTTCCTTAGAATTGTGTAGTACTTGGTATCTAAAGTGTTGTATTAAAAAATATTAAAGATTTTGAAAAATTAAGCTGTAAATATGTACAATCATTTGTATTTAAGAAGTCACAGTACTGACCTCTTTCTTAGCTTACAAGGAGGCAATCTAGCATACTAGCTGAAAACTTGGGTTCTTTGATAGACTCTCTTGTTCTGTCCTGACCAGATTTGTGACCTCAATAGATAACTTCACCTTCACCTTAGTTTACTCACCTGTGTCTACCTCATCTGTTATTAGAATATAATGAGTTATTGTATGTAAAGCTCTCAGAATAATGCCTGGCATATATAGTAATGTCTCTGGAAACATTATCTGTTCATATTATCAGTAGAAAGAGGGCTTGTTCCCAAAACTAGTGAAGTATATGTGTTACTTACTTATGCTCACATGTCCAGTTTATATTATGATCTATAGCACACATTTATGAAATATTTAGCCAAGATTATAGGGCACATATACAAATTATAATAAATAAAACATGTGTGAATGGCATGTATAACCCTAGTCAGTTTAACAAAATGACTTAAATGGGCAGAGCTAAACCCTGGATTTACAAATTCTAGCAAATAGGCAAGTTTAAGTTCTTTTAAATATTTCATTTAAATTAAAAATTAACTTTATCCTATCAGCTTCATGGTGTTCAGTTGATGTAATAGACTAGCCTTCCTGGCAACACATCTGGTGACTTCTAATTTATTTAGGCTCTGATTTCTATGAAATAAAAATAAAGCTGAAATAGGGTAGAAATTCTAAGCAAAATCTTTTGTGTACATAGGAATAACTGGGTCCATATTATATAGACTGAAAAAGTTCCCAGAGGACAAAGGAATGTCCATCGTACCCAGAATCATACATCTGCATGTGTGCAGATAGATAAAATTCCATCCAGAATGATCTTTTAGGAGCCACATGTTATAAATGAGCACATCTTTGTATCTGGTAGACTGTGGCTATAAAACTCACTTTCTCCTACATTCTTCAATGATCTGTTGTTGTTGAGTGCCATTGAGTTGATTCTGATTCATAGTGTCACTATATGCTAAGGAACTAGAATTTCAGTAATAAAACATTACAAAGAATTTTATAGGTAACAAAGAACAGGTATCATGTGCACTGTATTTTTCCTGGGGAAATACCTGTGTACAGTTGTCTATTAAATTCACACTGATTCTGTTGAGGGTTCCATAATGTATTTTTGGGGCAGACCAATGAATTATTCACATAGACATCCAAACGCTGAAGTGTGGAAAAAAAAATTCCTACTCGAACAGCCTGTTAAAAATAAACAACATTTTTGTTTCTTAAGAGAACAATGAAACAGAATATTTAGCACTTAGCATTTAAAATATGTCCTTTGACTATATAAACCTGTAAAATAGTAAAACTAACTTCTATGGATTTAGGATAAATATTGAACTAAAATATTAAAGTTTGCAGTCAACTTATAGTCAATGTTTCATATAGACATTACAAGTTAACCTTTCATTGATGATGCTCAGTAGAAAAATGTAATTTAAGATAGAAATGATTAAAGCTGTGTCTCTAAATTAAAGAAAGTGTTGCTTTAAAAGATAATAAAGTACAATATAGACTTTCAAAGCTGGAGGGGGAAGGGGACCTTACTAGAGCTCTATATAATGCATACCACACAAAATTAGATCCAGGCAGTCCCTAGGGTATGAATGAGATAGTTCTTAATTCTGCCTTTAAGAGTTTGTAGAGCAGTCTGAACAGGTGCATATGGTTCTTATTTAGTCCCACTTTAGTGCAAGAAAAGGCTCAACAGGTTTTCAGTGATTTAAAAGTTTCACATGCATCAAGTGAAGGTGATTGTGAAGAAGAATTTGTAGCAAGTAGGGGTTGGTTCTTTTGTTTCAAAGCAGGGATTGGATGGTTCTGATTCCGTCATTGCTGAGGCAGCTCAAAGATGGCAGTGCCCCCAAAGATGGAGGCACCTCACTCAAAGAAGGCAGCTTACTGAGTTGCTCTGAAGGTACGTGACTTTAATAATCCAATCTCATTCATCAGTGAAAGGGCTCACTACTCGTAACAGTCTCCTATTCCAAGTCTTTGACCTGTACTTTTTCCCATTCTGGTTACTGTGATGAATCACCAAACTGTGAAAATCCAAGTCTAATCCTCTTTTGTGGGTTGTTAGGTCAGACGTTTGTAACCTGGGGACAGCCTGTACTTCATCAATGTTGAAAAAAATGTTTATCTTTGAGGAAAAGAAAAATGATAGTGTATGCCTAGAAAATAAAAGTCAAAATAACTATCCTGTCTGATTCACTCTTCTTCATTTTACATTTTTACTTTCCCTACATTCCATACTATAAGATATAACCTAAAGTAAAGAGATTGGCTTTTGTAAAGGCAGGAAGGTATTAGTAAACAGAGACAGGGAGTCTAGTAAGCCAAAGAGAGTTTTGGAATCTTTTTTTGAAATTTTCTTCAGAGAGTCACAACAATAAGTTATTATTACTTTACAGTTACCTTTTTTTTATTTTTAAAATTAAAAATTGTTTTTCACTCATTTTTTTTTTTTAAACTAAAACTTGAATGGCTACTTTGAGCTAGGCATTATTTTAGACTTTGCAAAAATCCGTGACTTCTCTGAGCTTACATTTGAGAGTGAGAAGAGAGACAATAAATAATAGAAATAGTAATAAGTAAACTATGAAAGTGATAAATGCTATGGAAAAAAAAAAAAAAGAGCAGAGTAAAAGTAATTGGGAGAGCCATATTGGGAGAGGTCATCAGGGTGGGCCTACTGAGTGAATAGGATTTGAGCGAACACCTGAAGGACACGGTTGAATTAGCCACCGAGGGTAGAATATTGTAAGCAGTCACAATGGCTAAAAGTGAGGCCCAAGGTGGCAGCTTGCTCGGTGTGTTGAGGAATGGCAAGGAGACCAGTGTGGCTGGAGGAAGAGAAGAGGAAGTCAGACAAGTAAGGGGTTGGGGAGATTCCTGTAGGGCCTTGGAGGCCATTGTGAGAACTTTGGCTCTTGTACAAAGATAAATGAGGAAGTTTTTGAAGGGTTTGGGCAGGGGAGTGACCTGACCTAATTTATGTTTTGAAAGTATCTCTCTGGCTACTGTGGTGAAAATCAACTATAGAGGTGAAGCAGGAAGATGAGGTGGTAGGCAATTAACTTAATCCTGGTAATAGAGATGGCGGCTCAAACTGGATGGTAGCCGTAGAGGTGGTGAGAAATGGTCAGAGTCTGGAGATATTGAAGGGAGAGTCAATGGGATCTGCAGATGGATTAGATGGACTCAAGAGAAAGAATTGGCCAGGAAAACCTTATGAATAGCAAAGAAACACTGTTTGGTACATTACC